CCTTAATAGTTATTATTATTCTAATCTCTTAATCTAAGACGTCTCTTGGTTTAAATAAAAGATTAAAGGTTAATAGCTACTTTTTCTACTAAATATAGTTTACTTTATAGTTACTTTATTTCTTTTTATTTAGAAATACTATTCTTAGTATAAGAGTAAGTAATAAAAGCTATTATAAAAGGTATTTTTCTTATAAGATTAAAGTAATATTAGCTTTTTTTATAATATTTAGAACATAGAATTTAAGGTTATAAGTTATACTTAGGTGTTATATATTATTTATAATTACTTATATTTCCTTAGCTAAGATTACTACTTTTATATTATTTTTTTTATAAAATTAGCTTTTATTAAATATTATATTTTATATAATTATAATTTACTAAAATAAAAAAATTTATATTTAATATAAGTTATAAGTATTCTAAATATAGTTTACTAAATATTTAATATAACCTCTTAGTTTTACCTTAAAGCGTTATCTTTCTATGTTTTTCTTTTAGTCCTTTTAAATAAAGTATATTTAGTAGCTATATATATAAAGCTATTCTTATTATAGATATAAGTCTTAGCTAAAAGTTACTTAGTATTAAAGTTATTATTAATAAAAATATTATTTGAATTATTTCTTTTTTTTTTTAATTAAATAAAGCTAAGCGTTATATTAAAGAGGGCTAATATTATAGAGGTATATGCTAGCTATTATTGCTTTAACTTATAGTTTGTGTAGAAAGCCTACTCTAGAAAACAGTTTAATATCTCTAGTTATTACTTCCTAGCTAGTCCTCTTAGCTTTACTATTTAGCTCCTTTGTATATAAAAAAGTAGTCTTAACCTTAATCCCTTTTTTTTTTACTTATTATTAAAACTTTATATTACTATTAATTACTATAATAAAGTAGTTTATATTTTACTTTATCTTATATAAAGTAAGGCTATATTATTTTATTACCTATTACTTAAAGATATATAGAACTCTAAATATACTCTTATAAGTTTTTAATACTTTTAGAAATCTAAAAAAACAACTAATATATTTATTTTTAATTATTATAAGCTATAAGTTCTTATTATACCTTTTAAGGTAATTAAAGAGGTCTTAAGTAATTCTATAGTATAAGTAAAGTAACTTTTATTTTAATCTTTATTTTAAGACTATCTTTTTTATATAAGTTATTTAGTAATAAAAGTATTTTAATCTCTTATAAGCTTTAATCTTTACCTTCTAAGTATTTAAGACTAATTACTTAAGCGCTTAAGGTCCTAGATAATTACCTTGTAGATACTAAAGCTAAACAGGGTCTAAGTAAATACTTTTCTTATAGTATAAAGGTTATATAGAAGTATTATAGTAAAGTAGTATTATTATATTAATATTAACTATAGCTATATTACTTATAAAGATTTATGTATAAGTAAGATAACTAATAAGAGGCTTGTATTTAAAGAAAACAATATTTACTTTCTATATAAGTTACTTAATTATAAAGCCATCTAAATATCCTCTGTATTAAAGAATATAATTAAGTCCTAAGTACTAAATACTTATTATATAAAGTAAAGCTTTTAATATAACGTTTATATAAAAATTCTCTATGTATACTATATTCTTAAGCGTAAAGTCCTAGTTTACTTTATTTTAGCTTCTAAGAATCCCTTTAATTACACGTCTACCTTTTATATAAATAAGGTATAAAGTAATACCTAAATTAACCTATTAATTACTTTTCTTAACTACTTAAACTATACTTAGCTCTAAGAGAAATATATTATTTACTAAGTAAATAGCTTTAGAGTTATCTAATATAATACTATATAAAAAAATATATAGGCTAAAGTATAAAGTAGTAAAGACACTATAAACTTCTTTTTTCTAAGTAGTTTTATTTAGGTTTAGTTAAAATAAAATAAGGTTAATAATATATATAATAACTTTTAATAATAAATTATTACTAAGTCTATTATTATTATCTTTATTATTATTAGCCTTATTATTATATTTCTTAAGATCTCTTTTTTAAAATAAAGAAATTACTTAAAGCTACTTTTTCTAAGTAAATTTAGCTTAAAGGTCTATATTCTAAGGGTTATTAATTTAATTATAGATTTATAATATATTATTATTAATAATTAAGGCTAGTTTAAGTAAATAGCTAATAAAGGCTTTTTTTATATAAGTATATTTAAATAAAAGCTAATAGTATAAATAGCTATAAACATATACTTTATTTAAGTTCTTTAGTAAAAAGTAGTATATATTATTCTTAGTTAATATAATAAAATAACTTATTAAAGTTATATAAACACTAAGCCTTTTTTTATAATACTTTACTATTAATAAGTCTTTTTATAAAACGCTAATTAAAATTATTATATAGTTATTTAGGTTTTTAACTAAGAGGCTTATTATTTTATTTTAAATAATTTTTATAAATTTATAAGTTACTTAAGATAAAGTAATTCTATATAATACTACTCTTAGAAAAGTTCTTAAAGTAAAAGTACTTTAAACTTTTAATAAGTCTAGGATTTTTATATAAAAGTAAAAATTTTATTATTTTATTAATTAAATAAATAAGTTAATACTTAAAGCTATTTAATTTAATAAAGCTAAATATTTTTTTTAAATAATAGTTTAGTTAAATAAGTTATTTAATATATATTATTATTTAAGAATCTTAAGTATTAAGTAAAATATTATTTAATTTTATATTAAAGCTTTTATTTAAGTTAATTTAAAAAGTAATTTAATAATTAATATTTTTATTTATATATTAATTATATTAAATACTTTCTTTTATTATTTCTAAATAGCCTTTTTTATATTAATATTTAAAATATATATTTAATATATAACCTTAATATTTAAATTAGTTATTATTAAAAAAAGTTTATTATTAGTTTATTTAAGATTTATATTAATAATAAATTTATTAAAAATAAAAATCTTTAAAGTATTTAAAATCTTATTAAAATATTTAAGTTTATTTTTTTTTATTTATTTAAGTCTATTTAAGTTAATAAATTCCTAGATATACTTTAACTTTACTTTAAGCTAAAGAGTTATATATTATAAAGGCTAATTACTTTATGTTTTAAGCTTCCTTATAGCCCTAATAAAAATAGACATATTAGAGATATTAGTTTAAGAAAATAGAAATAATTTATTTAAAAAAGATTTTCTAGCCTATAGTATATTCTAAATATAATAGTTTAAGGGTATAACATAAGCTAAGCTTATAATTATTATAAAGTTACTACTTAAAGTAAAAAAGACATAAAGAAAACTACTTAGATTTCTATGTACAGGATTGCCTTGTCTGAAACGAATAAATATGTATCCTGCGTGGTGGATCTGCACGAAGGGACTGGACTAATAGTTAATCTGGGCCCGGCGCAAATCTCACAAGGCTGCGCGATGTGCGTGAGGGCATCGCGACATCACTAATGTAACTAAACCATGTCTAAGAGGATTTATTGCGGTAAAGGTTGAGGTATCTTTGGCAAACCTCGAAAGGTAGGTTTCCATAAAGCGACAATAGGTAGTTGCTCATCGTGCTCTGGCAGGGGGGTTAACGATGGCGTAAGATTGGGTATTCCACTACATAGGGAAAAAGTCGGCCTTGCAGGTGATACGAAGGCAATCATCTATGGCGTGATAAAACAGCACACAATTGAGTAGAGTCCTTAGAGTTGTTGAGATCATGATGTGCATTTCAGATCCTTGTAGCTGCCGGCACAAGGGACACGATAGTATGCCATACAACGCATCTTTTAAACATGGCATTGTAAACTTCATAGTTCACACCTACTGAGCACGTGAGACGATAAGTGCTTGTATTATGTTTAAGCTACCTCTAAGCCGACCTTGGAGAGGGGAAGATTGACTATGAGTGTCTAAGAACAATGAAAACAGTCTTTGTTTGTCTTGCTTATTGGTTGTCTTCCCGGTTTCATTGACTGCCATCACTGTTCTAATTTACTACATAGCCACGTCACATCACGACGCTGCCGTGTGATGCGCCCGGCACTTCCTGCAGTCTGTTGGCCCTTTTATAAGGAAACGGATGCTAGGAGAACTGGGTCATATCACACATGTACCCCTCATTCTGTACCAGGGTGTGGGAGGGGAGAGGGGCACATTAGGTACTCAAGTTTACCAGCACCTTATTGGATAGATTGATAGCTTGCCGGGAGAGATGAGTAATATCTTTACCGCACAATACAAATCAGTTAATGACACCCTAAGACAAGGTTAATAGAGCTTGGGTTTCCAGTGAGAGGAATTAATAACCCATGCGTCCATTTAAAGGATTACTGAGATAATGCATGCAATTCCGCGCTTCCGCCCAAACGCTATGCAATATTAGGACTGCGACCCAGAACTCTCTGTGAACGCGCGACTTGTCTAACCTCAAAAGTTCCGGTTGTTGGCCGATTGCTGCCCAAATCATCGAGGTGCATATGTGACCCCCCAGTACGCATCTTTGTGCAGTGTTATCCTTTTTGTAACTTAATAGCTCAATTGTTTGGCCGCTAATGAGAGACACCATGATCATCGGGAATGTCGGACAACTTCCTAGGAGGTATTTTGGATCATCCTCTGAGCTTATCAATCAAATTTGATGACAAGCTTGTATTCACAAAGAAAGCGACGTCGTAGACGCCTAGGAAGTGACAGACTGGGCTGAAGGAGAACAACAATTGCATAGAGATAAGGGAAGAGGCGATTTGTTAACAATACTATTCCGATGTGCAATAAAAGGTGTCCAAAGCTTAACGTGTACTTGACAAATAACATGATTGCTGTGAGGAGAAAAATTGGGACTGTGTGACGTGACGTACTAAGGCATTTGTAACCCCCTCTCAGTGGATTACATTTAAAGCTTCCATCTCTTACCCGCTCTGAAGACAAATCGTTAGAAGATAACCAGACTCAACAATCAGTACCAGATATCTTTGAAACGCTCGACTCAAATCGTCGGAAAAGCTCCTTCAACATGCCTTCTTATCTCGTGACTGGTGTAAACCGTGGCATTGGTGTATGTTTAGAGGACAAAATCTTTCTAATTTCCTTTTTATTTGCTCATGCCCAACTAGAAGATCTAACGCAGTGTCGGATAGTGGGCGTTCCTCCGCAAGTTATCCGACGACCCTAACAACATCGTCGTTGGTACCGTTCGCGACAAGGAATCTATGGAAAAGAAAATCGCTGATGAGCTTGGGAGCCGATCCAACATTCACATCATGAATGTTGAGCTTGGCAGTTTAGACAGCATCAAGGTAACTATATGCTACTTCGAGAGGTTTCCCTGTTAACAAAGTAGGCTGATGTGACTCTTCGTAGAAATCTGTCGATTTGGTTTCCAAAGTAACTGAAGGCAAGCTCGATTACATCATTGCTAATGCAGCATACATCTCACGCTTTTCTGCCTGGGTACCTATTGGAAAACTGTGGGTTGAGCTTACACTACACCAATCTCGTTCATGATGGTCTCGGGAGTATTTTTCTAACAGGTTACGAACACCAGAGCGGAATCTCCTGAGGAGCTTGAGGATGACCTCTTTAAAAGCTTCAAGGTCAATGTCGTAGGCGTTATCCACCTCTTTAACTTATTCTTGCCCTTGGTTCTTAAGGGTGATGTCAAAAAAGTCATTAGCATCAGCTCGGGTATGGCTGACATCGACATGATCAACCAATACCATGTTGACGTTGGCGCTCCGTACTCCATCAGCAAAGGCGCAGTGAATGTTGCCGTGAGCAAGTTCAACGCTCAGTATGCTAAAGATGGTGTTCTTTTTCTAAGCATCTGCCCCGGAATAGTTGACACGGGCCATAATGAGAACTGTAAGTTTGCATCGCCAAGTAGCAGCGCTAAAGCATAACACATGGCTGACTTCCCTGGCAGTGGGTGAGCAGGAAATGGAAGGCGTCACAAGGACTCTTGCCAAATTCAACGAATATGCTCCAGGCGCCAAGCTTGCAACACCGGAGGATGCTGTCAATGACGTTTTGAGGGTCATTTACGACTCTGGCCTTGAAAACGGAAGGGGGGTGACTTTATTTCTCATCTTGGCAGCAAGAGATGGTTATGAGAAAAGACACAACAGACTTGGTTCTATGAGATTAAGATGTCTATCTCTAATATCTTGCCTGTCAATCCTACTAGACAAAGACTATCGTTGTTCGCAAAGGTCGAAGTCCATGATTTTAGCTTTGCCAACAGATCGACAAGTTGGCAAAGTTCAAGCCTATGGCCCAGGGATGTGTTGGGAAAAGAAGAGCAGCTTTGAATCCAGGTTTATGGGACCAGAGAGCTTCCTAGAAGCTAACAGATCGAGAAGTGTCAGTAATCTTTTACAAAACATGTAGCTATGTCAAGGTTTATGTTGTTTACATTCGGTGCGCAAGATTATCGCTAAAAAAGGATAGTTAGGGTCTAGAAGTGTATGTTGCATTGGATCACCTTGTCGGAAAACATTATATCGTTAGTACCAAGACATAAATTAAGACTTTAAAACTTTGCCAACATAATTGTAGGATCATTAGTCGTACGGGTAGCATAAGCTGCTAAACCTCAGGTACACACACGACGCTCCGTCAGTGACCATGCACTTTTATGTTCAAAAGACCAATAGGCTCACTGATTAATAGCAACTCCAAGGGATAAGCATAAGCGCGACTGTTTTAGCCGAGTGATTTAACGAAAACGCAAGTAATCAATCCCGCATAGGAGGTCAGAACTTGTAACGATGGATTTTGAGATATAACTATAGAAGGGATGATTGTTGTGGCAGGTACTCATTGCGTCAAATTGCCCGAGTCATTGCTCACAGTTGTCCCTAGGGCAATGAAACACGCCATCTCGAGGTACATGCTGTGTTGAGCTGCTGGAACTCCTGAAGTGCAGCATTATGTGTCGCCCTTCCTAGTGGCGGGGATGTGGTACATTTTCACGACCCACTGAACAGGCTTAATTACTACAAGAATCATCTGAACCCTTGTTATAAATTAGGGTTATACGCGGAAGTTTTATGCTTGCGCAACTTCCAGTTAATTACTTGACAATTGGTCGAATCAAATAACAGATGTTTTGATGCTTGCTTCCTCCGACGTGGTTGGTCGGCAGCAGGCCATAATGTTCAACCGCGAGTGGCGTCTTCTTCACCATCACCGACTCCAGCAATTTACCCAGTGTGCCTAGTAGATAGATCGGACGCCATGCTTTTGCCAGCGTGTAGCTGCCTTTACCCGGTTTCCTGAGCGGTATGATCTATGCTGTTTGCGTGTCTCCATTGATGGGCAGTGATCTTTCTTCCAGCGATGCCCGAAAGATTGACAGGACCCAGTCCCGCGCCACCGGCCGGATCTGTTTCCAGACTTCTGTCGGAAGTCCGTCTTCTCCGAGTGCCTTGCGAGAGCTTGTCGCAACCAGTTCGGGTTCCATCTCCATCGTAATCGGCAGTCCCCGAATAACCTAATCCTTCCGGGAAGCCATTCAGCCAGTTGTGATGGTGCCGCAACGACTCTGTCAGCCATTTGTTGCGCATGGAGATTCTTCCACAGAAGTGTCTCGGCCCCGTGCCTCAGGACATATTACTAGGCAGCTTGCATTTGCTGAGAAACAAACATGATGTAAGACAGCCTCAGTCAACAATATATAGTCATCCAACTAAACAGACTAGGTGACCATAAATAGTTTAGAGATCCAACGCCTGTGTCGTCACATACAGCGAAGTTGGCGGCGGCGGCGGCGGCATCACGACACTTTTGCCCTCCGCAGCCTCGTTTAGACGGGTGCCCATATCGTCTACAGTACGACAACGTTTCAGGGACGAGGCGCGCGAGAGAAGGTGGAAGAGGTCGCGTGCGTAAGCAGGGACATCATCGTACACGCGTAGAAGCGTGACTGGGCCTATTCCGAAAAAGGAGGGGCTCCGTGGCCTTCTTGGGCCAAAGGCTTGAGGATGAGGGGCCTTATCGGGGTTTCTTAGAGCATGCAAATATTACTTTTGGGGCTGATGAAAACTTCGGTGCGACGCAAGTCTATATTATGGCAGATCGTTTGACTGTCTGTGGAATAAGAATTGCTGGTTAAACAATGGGACTTTAATGACTTAGCTGGGAATAAGCTGTAAGATTTATTGACCATTGCTTCAGAACCCACCTAAAAAGCCGAGCTGTTCCCTTTTGGCTCACATCATCATTTACCGCCAGAGTGTTCCGTAGAGGATTTTGCCCTTTCGGGCACACTCTCCTTGTCAGAAGTTCTCTTCTTGGGTGATTCCCCACCTTTAACTACTCCCTTTTTGTTCCTATCGTCTCCGGTTTCCGTCTCATCCCAACCCAATATCAGTTCATTGTCAGCTTCTCCTTCGTCGTCCGGGTCCCATCCCTTCAGGACTCTTCTAGCCGCTTCTCTTCCTACGACTGGTAGCCTCTGCACTCCGTTCTTGCGTGCCGCATCTGGTACTATTTTCGGGTCCAACAAGCCAATTTGCACCAGAACACTGGCCTGGTCCCAATAGACATGCTCATGATAAAGCTTGCCTCCTTTCAGTCCAACGATGCTGACCACAAGCACTTCGACCCGCTTGCTTGTTGCTGGGACCCCGGGCAAGATCCAAGGCATCTCCTCAGTATGCTTAAACCGGACGTGAACCTCGTCGACTACTCGATCGGCCCCAATGGTGCGAGAAATTAGGGTTAGTTTCATTGATGGGGGGTTGCCAAAAAATTGATTGTAGAAGCGTTCAAGCTCTGATGCTCCAATGCCTCCTGTCAAGGTCGGGATATGAGTGACGTGCGGGCTCTTGTGCGTCGCGTACGTTGACATTGTTTGGCTTAGGTTTCTAGTAAAGAATTTGCCTGAGCAAGTCAGCTCTGAATATGCCTTCCGCATCCTTAGGATACTGACCCTGTACGTTTTCCTCCAACACGAGTTCCAAGTCGACGTGATTGTTGAACGCTTTCCTCGCCGCACCCAAGCTCCGACTCCACGCCAACTCGGCGGAGACCTTGTTATATTCTTCCAGGTCATGCTCCGCAAAACCGGGCTCGGCGTCGTAAGTATAGGTTGGGTACGCGAGTTGCAAGGTCCCCCCCGTGCCGATGCCTCTTTCCACCTTCTTGCGGACCGTGCGCCGTTTGCCTTGTATCCCTACCATCTGGGTTTGCTTCGTGATGCCAATTTCTTCGCCTGCAGAAAGATGAACGAGAGCCGAGATGCTGCTGGGAAAATGCCCTTGAGGGTCTGGAATGGCCGTCGGATAGTACGCGACGAGCAGCCCGAGCTTGAACTCTGGGTTATTGTCCATGACGTGATAATGCTCCAGGCAGACGGATGCGGCATCGCCATATGCTGTCAAGTTTTAGCTTATCTTGAATCTGTTGCACTCTGTGCCTTACTTATGACT